ACTTGCCAATTTCCTTAAAATTAATCATATGGTTTTTTTTTTTATAAAGGGAAGAGATTTTGCAAGTGGGGTTTGTGGATTTGGGGTTTCCTCTTGGAAACTTTTTTGTTTACTTCATCATATGCTTTGTAAACACGTTTGTATCTTATTGGTTAGTTGATGGAACTGTGAATATTTTCGTAATACATTTGTTGAAGAAAAAAATTTATATAGTATTAGAAAGATGGATATCTAGAATGGTAAATAAAATATTAAATTAGTTTCAATTTATTGTCGATGTGTTTCGAACTGAAGTCTTAAGTCTTTATTTATCAGGAAAAAAAAGTCTTAAGTCTTTACAAAGTAGCAACGTCTAATGATCTTTAAATTGTAATTCGGTTCATATGCATTTTCTTGAGAGAATATGTCAAAATCTGTCCCATGTTAAGAAAAATGTAGAATTCGAATATAGTCTGCTAATCATAAAACACTAGGCCAATACCCGCACAGATGAGCGAGTTTTCTATATAAACGTTGGGTAAAACATAATATATTTTTTTGTATTACCTAATTCGGAAGAGTGCAAAAATTATAGTTTGGAAAAAGGTGATGATTCTCGAAGAACGTGATTATCATTTTTTGCTCGATGTGGAAATAATAAACGTTAAATGTCAAGAGTAATAAACTTCAGTGACACATGATGGATTTTGTCACGTGCAGGCTCTAAAGATTTCTTGAGCTTGAATGTCGACTCTTGAAGGCGTAGAGAGCTAATTGGAATGTAAACGTGAGACCTACTTGGTATAGTTATAATTTACATTTTGAATCTTAAAGAGAGAAAAGCAGGATGATCAATCCTTCCATCCAACTTCTCTCTAATTTAAGTCGCATGCTTCATAATTTATATTCTTCAAAACCAACAGAATTTGTACACGACACAACACATGGAAATGCTTAAGAAGGGAGAGTTGAAAGATGAGTTAACCACAATGGACCATACTTATTACAAAACCAGTTAAACATTATAGTCATGCCATGATTATGCCTACTTCCAGGAAATAGTGCACCATGTTCTCCATTTGAAGAGAAAATCAAATTGATAAAAATTCACAACAACTTCACCTTTCAACATAACAATTACCATGTTTTGTTCAATTTGCATAATCACGCAATTATCTTCTATATATATTAATAGAGGAGACAGTAGATGAAAATCATAGGTGTCATTCAAAGAGAATTTTAAAGAATTCATAGAAAGCTATTAAAAATTAAATAAATGACATTGGCTTATGTTTTTTTTCAATTTGGTCAATAAAAATATTAAAACCAATGGCATCAACATATGTTTTATCAAAATTTAACTTTATTACATTTATACACACTACTTATTATTTTTGTACGTTTATAAATATTAAAAATCATATGTTTGTCATATATTATAATCAATTAGAAATATATTTAATTATTTAATTTTACGCTTGCCGTGGATCAAAATCTAGTACTTATCAGTAATAGAGAAGAAATACGACTAATATTAAACGAAAACAAAAACTGAATATTAGGGAAGAGACAATCGATTGAAACACCTTCACTTTTGTTTGTT